CCCAAAGTGTGCAAAAAAAAATTCCGCCACACCATTACACCAGCACCACTAACCTGAACGCTTTCGTGTTGTTGACACCAAATTCTGACTCTACCATTCAAATTCCGCAGCAATAATCAAGATTCATCAGACCAGGCAACAGTTTTCCAATCTTTTATTGACCAATTTTGGTGAGTCTGTGTGAATTGTTGCCTCAGTTTACTGTTCTTACTGTAGCTCACAGGAGTGGCACCTGGTGTGGTCTTTTTCTGCTGTAGCCCATCCGCCACAAGTTTTAACATGCTATGCTTTCAGAGATGCTCTTGTGTATACCTTGGTTGTAACGAGGGTTTATTTGAGTTACTGTTGCCTTTCTTTCAGCTCGAATCAGTCTGGCTATTGTCATCTGGCATCAACAAGGCATTTGCTCCCACAGAACTTCCGCTCACTGGATATTTTATCTTATTTTAGACCATTCTTTGTAAACCCTGGAGATGGTTGTGCAAGAAAATCCCAGAAGGTCAGCAGTTTCTGACATAGTCAGACCAGCCTGTCTGACACCAACAACCATGCCAAATTCAAAGTCACTTAAATCACCTTTCTTCCCCATTCTGATGCTCGGTTTGAACTGCAGCAGATCGTCTTGACCATGTCTACATGCCTAAATGGATTGAGCTGCTGCCATGTGATTGGACCCTTAATCAATGTACCTAATAAAGTGGCCGGTGTGTGTGTATATCAGTCTCTGACAATTTCAAAGCATTTGAGCTTTTATTAATATATTGCAGTGATTTTTCCTCCACCCAGAAATAGAAATAAATGAACAAATATTCAAAACTATATCATTACAAAAGCATAAAAATTGAATTTGATGGAGGGTAATTGAGAATTAATGAAGGAAAGTTATTTGAGAGAAGGCTATGACTGTACACGATTGGTCATAATTGGATTTGATTGGTTCATGCAATTAAACATCTCTTGTTTTTTTCTGCTCATTCAATGCTTGCAACTCTGAATAAACAAAATGATGCTGTTAAAGGAAAAACAAAAAAGTTAAAACCCTAGCACCCAGAAACTGTCATTATAATTTGACAATATTAAATGACCTTTTTAATTATATGTATTTAAATTATATTATAAATTATGTGCCATCTTCCAGCCATCTTTTTTATACGTTGCATACATATATATGTGAATGTGCACATCAATGTATATAGATTGTAAGGAATGAGCATGAGTCATGGTGATCTTCTGATGCGCACATCATTTTCACTCTCCTACACATCCCTTGCCAGCAATCGAGTTGAAGCTCACAGGGGCAGGAAGGAACAGTCAGGGTGCATGAGCTTCACAATCTTACCTTCTTCACATACTGAGGGCTCCGGTGTCAACAGAGATCACAGGATGCGGCTCTGGAAATGATTTAAAAGGAATTTGAAAGTTGACATTAATGGTACATCTGCAATTCATGACCTTCTGAGGCAAGAAATTACATTTGACATCCTGAAACAGTCGCGAAGCTATTGTGTGAGTCAGGAGGTTCCATTTTCATACCCCAAGGTGAACAGTCTGACTGTCATCATCTGCATAGCTAATTATGTTTGTGCAATTTCTCTTCCTGTGCACTGAAGGGACATTTTTCTCCATTTGATTTTTTGAAGGCCATCTTTAGTTTTTCATGTAGCAGTTGAATTTGACTTGAATAGACTTTTTTCTTGCATAATAGATATATTTTTATATTATTTGCAGTTTTATTAAAGTATAGAACTGAAACATACATGAATTTTAAAATTTAATGACTGCATCTAAGTGAACACCATACAGGGCTTTCACATGTCATGGAGGTCTATTCCAGGCATTGAAAGTAAAGGAAGTTTATATATTTTTCTACAAGTCATGAATATCAGGGATTTTTGTTTGTCATTTTCAATTTTACCTCCCATTTATCAAAAAAAAAAAAAAAAAAAAAAAAAATTTCCTGCACCATGTTTTGTGTTGTTTTGTGGTGCTTTTTCTTATAGTTTGAAGCAATGTTTGAGGCATTTCTTGTGTTATTTTGCTGTGGCTGAATGTGCATTGTGAACCTTAAGCAGGTCACACACCTAAAGAGTAAATAAGCTCTCTCTATATGTGAATATAATGTTATTTAAAAAAAAAAAAAAACGGTGAACAGTGCCTGTCCAAAATCTACAGGAAACCTGTGGCAATAATAAAAAAGTCAAGCTCCTCCTTTGCACGGTTTGCTTGATGTTTGAGTTTTCCTATTCATTATAGGTAATCGAAATTCAGCTGTCTGGTCATATAGACCTTTGGTTCTCAAACTTTTTTCATCAATTACCACTTTAGAAAAAAATTGTCTCTCCAAGTACCACCATAATAAGCAGTATTGAAAAACAGTAGCGTGGTAGATCCAGTAAGGCAGCTACAGTTCTGCACAGTTCAAAAACGTGGCAGATTAATTCCTATTATTAAGAAAATTTATTATTATCAGCCACTTTAAATACTACACAGTAAATTTTGCTGTGTTGAATAAACTCTTAAAGAGTTAAATTTAACACTGCACGTGAGTGTATTTGGTCCCACTCAGAATTGGTGTTAAATTAACACTTTTCATTGTGTTATATTTTCAGAGTAAAATTAACTCAATTTTGAGTTAAAATTTAACACTGGTCAACACTGAAAATTGTTAAGCTGTTTAACTCTGAACAGAAATTAACTCTGTCTGGTGTTCCTTAATTTAACACCAAACTGAAATCAACTCCGGTTAAATGTTAATACATCACTAATAAAGAGTTGATTTACAACCCATATGGTGTTGCTTTAACTGTCATTATTTCACTCTGGTGCAATTTTTTAATGCTACTGAACATACTAAAAAAACATTAAACAACAAATAAAACAGAAAACGAAACTCAATATCAGTTAAAACTTTTATTAAAACATTCAGGCTTACAAAAATACAGTGCAAAAATGTCAAGTCTGCATAAAATGGCAATATGGTACAATATGAAGTACAGAATCAGTTGTACCATATTTTCTTTGAAGATCAAATGGTTTGAAATAACACAGCTCATTAACATTGACAACTGTTAAAACTTTTTCTGGATGCAGTCTGACTGTAAAAGCATAGTAATGCTCATCAAAACATACAGTTTCCATTAGTGTGCCACATAACAGTACATTTTCATTTTTGACAGCTAGAGTCATGATCTTACAAAACACTGGCATCTCATTTGCTACTTCTGTGCAGATAATAAAGTCAGGATGATACTCTGTGCCATGATGTTTGATCCACTTTACAGCATAGACTATTTCAGATATTACCACACCTAATTTTGAAGCAATCTCTGGGCCACCTCTAATTTCCCTGAGTTCCACCATCTTTCCTGGGCCAAGAGTCAGTCTGTACTGGCTAAAAGACTCCCAATACATTGCCATACAACTCTGGTGCTTTTTGGCTAGTGTTTTGGTGATGTTTTTGAAACTTTTTAATTGTGTTTTAAAGAATTTGTGCTTAGCTTCATAACGCATACACCATGTGTGCAAAATTGGACCAATTTTCCTTATACATTGTGGGTAATGTATCATGATGTGATGTTTTGGCAGAAGATTTTTTTGGGGGAATAACATTTTAAATAGCCGATGATGTTCAATTATCAAATGTTTAAGATAAGTGGTCATGCCATCTGTTAAGACAGGTGAAAAGACAATGTTAACAATCTGCAGAAGTAAAAGCAAAAGATGCCAGTGTTTATCATCTTTATGTATTAAATCTCCAAATATTAAAGGCAAATTGCGCAATAAGCACTAAGATTGAATAGCATTTAAACCTAAATCATTGCTTCCATCAAGCAATTTGACTTTTGGAGGACGGTTTCTCTGCTGATTGTAACCATAGTCAAAAGCATGTACTCTACCATCAAGATCATTGGCACTCAGAAAATTATGCTGAATGTACTGCAGAACAAGTTTTACCTCTAGCTGGGCAACTCCTTCTAGAATGTCGTGCATTATATCAACAGCAAAATTGGTGGCTGTGTTGAAATATTTGAGGGAATTTAATAAGCATGCCCTTTTGACACCATACACGTGAGGTAGTGTAGAATCAGACTGTAAAGTTTCACAATGCAGAGCATGCATCTCAGCAGTTCTTAGTTCAACCTCAGGACTATCTTCAGAGAACACTGACTGAAACTGATGCTTCTCAAGCAGACAAAAACGACAACAATATCGAGCCCCAAATGATTCCAGAAAGCCAAACAAGCTGTGCAGACCTAGGTTATCCCCTGTGACTTGAACGATAGTACCCTTGATGCATCTTCCAGACACTGGATTCTTAACTCCCTCAATTTCAAGCACTTTCAGATCATTGACCAGGGGCTCAATTATGGAGTTAAAACCATAGCGCTTAACATCCTGTGCATGAAAGAGGGCACATAAATGAATATTAACCAGTGAGGAGTTAAAAACTGGTGGGAAATTTCTTAATGAAAAATAGATTGCACCCAATTTATGTATACCTTTCTTTGAGCCCAGTGGATTAGCTGTCTCAAAATCATCATAAAATAACTGAATTTGTAAGGCATCTTTTTCTGTAGAAAATAAAGGACTGCTTTTAAAATGTGCTGCATCACTTAAGTCCACATAAATTCCTTCCTTTGAAATGTGTCTGGGTTTAAACAAATGGGTAAGTTGTGGATTTTTTAAAATTGTCTTTAGTGTTTCTAAAATGGGAATATAAGAAAATTTATCAGTCACAACAACTTGATCAAATGTTCCTGTAGTTTTATTTCTTCTGCTGTCAAATCTTGTGCCGAGTACTATTTCACTAGGTTCAACAATTCCCCATTTCGCTGTAAACAGTCGCTGTCGCTTGACTTCCGAATTTAACAAAGTAAATGGATTTTCTAAATTTGTAAAAGATTCCTCTATTTTCCTTTTACTAACAGTGTCCTCAGAAGATAGACAGAGCAAAGCTGCATCCTGGGCTTGACTATGAATCTCAAAAACCACTTCTTCCATAGATGAAACAAAACCATTTATTGCAGACTGACTTAAACCAGCAACTTTCAGTTGTGCAACAGCAGACGCACACATATCTAAAGTGTTCTTATTAGACTTTAACATTACAGATGTTGTGGCCACATCTTCAGCACTGTCACTCTGGTGAAACATTGCAGCACTACTTTCTTCCTCTGCCTCACAGATGCCACTAGGGTCACAACTCTGTTCACATTGTTCAGGATGTTTTATATTCAAATGTTTTCTAAAACCTGAGAAGGTACCAAACTCAGAACCGCATCCTGCCTCTACACATTTAAGTCGAAGGCTCTTTCCAGGAACCAAACCATGAACAAATCTGAAGTGCCTAACAAGCATTTTTGAACCATTTAATTCAGTCTCACAAACAAAACACTTCATGAGTGCACTGGAACTTTAGGCACCTAGTTAAGCAGCCTTGCCCTAACCTCAGCAACACGAGGACTTTCTTTCACTTTCCCAACATCTATGTTGTACACAGTGGTTTGAATGAAAGTGTACATGTTGTGCAGCATGGTGTTGTAAGAGGTGCCAAAAACATAATGTGCCTTAAACAGTTCATCAAAGGCACCAAGAGAAGAGGTGGACTTGCATGGAATGGCATGCTGATCAAGGATGATGAAGAACTGGTGAATTGAATCCTTCTGAGGACCTACAGCCAGGAGATAGGGCTGAGCGCTCGCAGAGATGTCTTGCAGCTGCTCCTCAATGTTTGTTCCACTCTAAAAAAAGCAAGCAAGTAAAAAAGAAACATCACTAACAAGTTAAATAATAAAAAACTATGACAGAACAATCATTAAATAAAACCAGCAAACAAACCTTCTTGAAGACAACAAGATGATTTTCTGCTTGAGAAGCAGAAACTTTCCCTGGTCTCTTCCGGCCTTGAGCAGATGGTGGAATCAGATGCAACAGTAGTAGTACTGAAGCAAGGTCGCTGTCCCAAACTGTTTAAACAGGTAACAAATAATTGGTTAATATCATAAATGTTAACTCGCAGCAAAACAATGTTGAAAACTAGAAGTTAACTACATAAAAAAAGCCAAAACTATATACAAAGTGACTAAAGCTACATTAACAATCTTAGTTTGAATACAATTATTTGTAAATCTGATAAAACTTTGATCCAAACTACCAACTAGGGCTGCACGATATTGGAAAAAATTGACATTGCGATATTTTTTTCCCCTGCGATATATATTGCGATATTATATATATATATATATATATATATATATATATATATATATATATATATATATATACTTAAAACTAGGGCTGTGACGGTCACCATGACAACCGCGTCACGGCCGTAGTACGTGACGTCACGCACTTTAAAACACAAATTACTGTTATGTTGCCAAGTATTACATATCTGTTAGAATATAACATTAGGCGCGATTCAGCAAGTTCAAGTTCAACCATGAATCTTGTTAGAAAACGAACTCTTACATCTGGGAACATTTTGGATATGTGCCGACTGAGAAAGGTGAACGAATCAATTTGGATT